TTAAAACTTACCCTGCGAAAATGAGAAATTAAAATAGATTACTCTCTTTATTACTTTCTAAAGTAGTTCACACATGGAAAATTGTCATACTTTTTATTTGTTGGTAGATATGTACTTGCCGCTATTCACATAATAAAATAGGCATATGCATGAATTTGCTCGACTATTTTCTTCTTTAATAGATGCCTTTGGAATTGTGTTAATATTATGTTACAATCTAAAAGTAGATTTTAATGGAAAATTCATTGGTAGTTATTTAAAATATATATATAGTTCTTAAGGAATTTTTTAGCTTAAATTCTTAAATTTAATTATTATTTTATGTATATTTGTATATGCCTCTATAAATGTTATTTGAAAAAGGAAATGTGTTGTTTAAAAGACATATATTGGGCTAGAACTTAAAGTTGTGGGTCGCAAATGACAAAGGAAAGAACAAAAGAATAAAATAATAATAATTCTGGTCAAGTTGAGAAGTAATTCTCTATTTTTTTCTCAAGTATGTCAGTAATGAAAAATGAAGTTAAAGAGAGATATTGTATCTTATTTCAAGGAAAATGTCTCGAGTAAACCAGAACAATTTAATAAGAGACCTCCTACAAGCGGTTCAAAACCTTGGCAGGCTGAATCAGAATCCGGCTCCACCGACACCACCAACTCCTATTACTCTCCCAACTCATGCCTTGGTGGTTGAGTTATTTCGAAGGCATAAGTCTCCTTCCTTCGATGGGGCATCTGGTCCACTAGTAGTTGAGGAGTGGCTTCATAAGTTAGAGCGAATTTTACGACTCATAGACTTCCTTGATGCCTAAAGGGTCCAATGTGCGGAGTTTTTGTTTACGGGTGATGCAAGTCACTGGTGGGATTCGATGTCCCGAACTAGAACTTCAGAATAGCAATTGACGTTAGCTTGGGAACAATTCAAGGGGAAGTGATTGACAAGTATTTTCCTTAGTCTTTAAGGGATCTCAAAGAGAGCGAATTCCTTCAGCTTAAGCAGGGTAATATGTCCTTAATTGATTATGAGCGAAAATTTGACCAATTCTCAAGGTATGCTCCACACCTTGTGGACACGAAAATCAAGAATACTCGAAAGTTTGAGCAAGGGTTAAACCCAGATCTAAGCATGATTCTTATGTCACATTGTTTCACATCATACCGTGAGATGATGGAATGAGCTCAAGCTATTTGGTATTAGAAGGCAAATGTAGAACAACACAGTCAATTGCACAACCAGCAGGATAAAAAGCAAGTTGGAAAGAGAAAATGGAATTGTCAAGACAAAGGAAAAGGTAAATGGCAAAATAAGAAGGCTAATATTAGATCTAATGTTAGTAAGGCCATAATAGCTGTAGTTGCACCTTGCCCTAAGTGTGGTAAGCCTTATCATAGGGAATGCTTGTATGAGAAGAATGCCTACTTTCGGTGCAGGAAGCCAGGATATATTGCTAAAGATTGTCTCATGTTTACTAAGAAGGATGATAACAATGATCAGAACAAGAAGGAGAATCACGAGTTTTTACAAGGACTCAAAAGGATGCAGAGGAGAACTCAAATGTGATAGCAGATATATTACTGATATCTGATACACCTGCTTATGTCCTATTTTATTCAGGAGCTACTCGCTTTTTTGTATCAACAACTTTCATTGCTAAATCTAGTAATAATTGTGATAAGTCAAAGAATACACTAGAGTTAGTATCCCATCAGGCAGAACATTGGACACAGATAAGTTCGCTAAGTCGGTGAATCTTAAAATTGAGGGAAAGCATTTGAAAATGATTTGTATGTGATAGAGATGAAAGACTTTGATGTGATTTTGGACATAGATTGGTTAGGATATAATTATGTAACCATTCGTTGTAGAGAAAGGGAAGTATCTTTTCAGAAACTAGGAGAAGAATAATTTTCTTTCCCTGGAATAAATACCAAACCCCATCTCCAACTGGCATCGACCTTACAAACCTAGAAAATGTTGAGAAAAAAACATCTCAAGAGTTTCTTATTCACATCTCAGGAGGAAAACAAACAACGATAAAGATTGAGGACGTACCAGTGGTACAAGAATTTATTGATGTGTTTCCAGAAGATCTGTCTGGTATTTCACCAGATAGACAAGTGGAATTTACAATACATCTGGTTCTCAGATCGACACCAGTATCTAAAGCTCCATATAGAATGGCTCCAAAGTAACTTCAGGGGTTGAAAATTTAACTACAAGAATTGTTAGATAGTGGCTTTATTTGACCAAGTATATTCCCATGGGGTACACCAGTGTTGTTCGTAAAGAAGAAAGATGGAAGTATGAGGATGTGTATCGACTATCGGGAGTTGAACTGTTTGACCATCAAAAATAGGTATCCTCTTCCGAGAATTGAGGATCTGTTTGATCAATTGAAAGGGGCTAGGGTATTTTCTAAGATCAATTTACGATCTGGATATCATCAATTGAAGATTAAGGAGAGTAATATACCTAAGACAGCTTTCAGAACTCGTTATGGATATTACAAGTTAACAGTTATGCTGTTCGGGTTGACAAATGCTTCGGCAGTGTTCATGGATTATATTTCATCAGTATTTGGATCAAATTGTCATAGTCTTCATTGACGACATTTTGATATACTCCAAAAGTAAAAATCAACATGATGAATATCTTAGAATTGCTTTGGAAAATTTGCGCAAGGAAAAGTTATACGCCAAATTTAAAAAGTGTGAATTTTTGCTTGAGCAAGGTGGATTCCTTGGTCATGCAGTTACTACCCAAGGAATTGAACTAGTTCCAGTAAATGTGGAAGAAGTAACTAATTGGAAGACAACGACTAATGCTGGTGAAGTTCAAAGTTTTTTGTAATTGTCTGGGTACTATCTGAATTTATAGAAGGATTATCCAAAATAGTTGGACCAACGATTCAATTGACAATGAAAGAAGTGAAGTTTCAATGGATAGATAAGTGTGAAAAAGTTCTCAGGAGCTAAAGCAACGACTGGTTACAATACCTGTGTTAACCATACCCGAAGGCTCGGAGGGGTTTGTTATATATAGTGATGTATCCAAACAAGGTTTGAGATGTGTACTAATGTAACATGGAAAAGTGATTGCCTATGCATCAAGGCAATTAAAGCAACATGAATAGAGCTATCCAACACATAATTCTAGAACTTGCAGCGGTAGTTCATGCATTAAAGATATGATGCCATTACCTATATGGAGGAGAGTGCGACATGTACATAGATCATAAGAGTCTCAAATATTTCGTTACACGAAAGGAATTAAATATAAGACATAGATGATGGTCGGAGTTAGTAAATGATTATGATTGCACTATTCATTACCATCCTGTGAAAGCTAATGTTGTTGTCGATGCTCTAAGTAGGAAGTTGATGGGACAGCTGGCATCATTACCTACCACGCAGATGGAGTTAATCAAAGACTTGAAAAATTTGTGAATCAAAGAGTACCACACAAGAACAAGTCATCGCTCGTTTAGCAACTTTGATGGTTCGACCTACTCTTAGAGATCGGATCATAGAAGCACAAATTAAAGACCAATTCTTGCAAAAGATCAAGAACGAGCTTGGTACTGATAAGAAAAAGGATTTTAGAATAGTTTCAGATCAGGCACTGATGTTTAAATGACAAATTTGCGTACCTAAGGATAAAGTTTTGAGGAAGGAGATATTGGAAGAGGTTCATTCTACCCCCATACACCGTACATCTTGGTGGAACAAAAATGTATCAAGACTTTCAAGATACATTCTGGTGGAGGAATATGAAAAGAAGTATAGGCTTATTTGTGGCAAAATGCATAGTGTGTCAACAAATTAAAGCAGAATATTAAAGACCGACAGGGTTGTTAAATCCATTGGACATATCTGAATGGAAGTTGGAGAATATCACAATGAACTTTGTGGTTAGATTTTCGAGAGAATATCACAATGGTCTTTGTGGTTAGATTTTCGAAGTCAATAAGA